TTGTGAAGGATCTAGGAAACGTCAAAAACTGCCTAGGAATGGAATTCAATCGAGGAAGCGACTTCTTGGAAATATGTCAGAGCGGATACATCGAAACAATCTTGAACAAATTCGGAATGGAGGAATCGAAACCAGCTGCTACTCCGACGAATGCCGGAATTAAATTAAAGAAACTCGATCAATCGAAAGCTGAAGAAGAAGAAAATAATCACCCCTTCAGGGAACTCATTGGCACTCTGATGTACCTGGCCGTGGGATCAAGACCCGACATCGCCTATGCAGTGAACTACTTGAGCCAGTTCAACAACGCGAACGGAAAAGAACACTGGATTGCAGCAAAGAGAATTCTGCGTTATCTCCGAAGAACATCAAGGCTCGCTCTAAGATATCAAAAGTGTTCAAGACATCTGGAAGGCTTCGTAGACTCCGACTGGGGCGGATGTCCAGAAGATCGAAGATCCTACACAGGATACGTTTTTGTTTTGGCAGGAGGGGCAGTGACCTGGGAGTCCAAAAAACAACGTACCGTGGCCTTATAGACCACGCAAGCGGAGTACATGGGGCTCACGGAGGCTTCGAAGGAGGCCATTCACCTGCTGGGACTGATAGAAGAAATCGGACTAGGAAATCAAAAAATGGTCCAAATGTATAACGACAATCAAAGTGCGCAGAAACTTGCCAGAAATCCGGTGTTCCACTCAAGAAGTAAGCACATCGAAATTCGGTACCACTTCATCAGGGAGGCCCTGGAAAAGGCAAGGTTTCCATCGACTATATACCGACGAATGATTTGATGGCTGATGCCGTTACTAAAGGACTAAGTGGAACAAAGCATCTCAAGTGTATATCTCAGTTCGGTATGAGATCACGTGACATCAAAAGAAGTGTTTAGTTCAGTGCTTTTTATTTTTGTTTAAATGGGGGGAAATTATTTCAAAATAATAATACAAAGACAAAACACGGACTTGTTTAAGGGGAAGTGTCAAATATGTATCATTCTATACTAACTACGTCCCTGCTATGTCAATCGTACGCATGCGCTAACACACTTTCTTTACACACACAATTTTATCACCACAGTTCCTTTGTACTCTCTCCAGAGTTAATCTCGAGTCATTCGTTACCAATAAAAAGGTCTTATTGTAATCTGGTTATATTGCTTACTAGAACCATAGCCTCTCGGTCTAATAAATTTTAATGAATTAAATTTTTTTGTATTTTTTACTAAATTTTGATTGTCTGATAGCGTTCGGGTGGACCTGCTACTACTTAAAATTTTTTTAAAAATTCCCTATTCTTCAGGATTAGCTAAGGCTCAGTGCCTACTAAAACTCAGGAAAGTTTCAGATGATTAGAATGATCAAATTTTAAAGAATTAAATTTTTTTGTATTTTTTACTAAATTTTGATTGTCTGATAGCGTTCGTGTGGAGGTGCTACTACTTAAAAAGTTTTTAAAAATTCCCTATTCTTCAGAATTGGCTAAGGCTCAGTGCCTACTAAAACTCAGGAAAGTTTCAGGTGATTAGAATTATTAAATTTTAATGAATTAAATTTTTTTTGTATTTTTTACTAAATTTTTATTGTCCGATAGCGTTCGGGTGGACCTGCTACTACTTAAAATTTTTTTAAAAATTCCCTATTCTTTAGGATTGGCTAAAGCTCAGTGCCTAATAAAACTCAGGAAAGTTTCAGATGATTAGAATCATCAAATTTTAATGAATTAAAATTTTTTTGTATTTTTAGGGTTCCGTACACCATAGGTCTACTGACGGAACCCTTATGAAATCACTCATGTGTCCGTCCCAGCCACACAAAATGGGCTGCCCCCCCCCCCCTTAACTTCTACAAATATCAACCTGGTGAGTTGAAATTCGGTAGGGTTCTGCAGTTTTAAGTGCAGATTACAGGAAAAATATAGCGAACTTGATTGACGGACATATTTGCGAACTAGGAGGGAAAGAAATTCAATTTTTTCGAAAAAATTACCCTGTCCCCCCCTTTAACTTTTACAAATCTTAACTTGATGAGCTAAAATTCGGTAGGGATATTCAGTTTTAAGTGCAGATTACAGGAAAAATATAGCGAACCTGATTGGCGGAGATATTTGCGAAATTGAAGGGCAAGAATTTGAATTTTTCGAAAAAATTACACTGTCCCTACTTTAAATTTTATAAATTTAAACCTGGTGAGTTAAAATTCAGCTTGTATATTCTTTTTCAAGTGCAAATTATAGATAAAATAATGGAAATGTGATTGGCGAAGATAAGTACTATAAAATAAAAAATATATGATTTATTGATAAAATAAAATAATAAAAATATTTATTCGAAATTTAAAAAAATATATTACTATTTTTTTTATTTTTTTCAAATTTTGGAAGAATTTTTAAAATCATTTTTTTATAAAAAATGAGTTTTATTTTGGTGTACGGAACCCTCGATCTTAATGCGAGTGCAACTCGCACTTGTCCGATTTTTTACTTAATATTGATTGTCTGATAGCGTTCGGGTGGACCTGCTACTACTTAAAAAGTTTTTAAAAATTCCCTATTCTTCAGGGTTGGCTGGGGCTTAGTGCCTACTCGAACTCAGGTGATTTTGAGATGATTAGAATTGTTTAATTCAGAAGAAGAAAAATTTTATTTTTTACTAAATTTTGATTGTCTGATAGCGTTCGGGAGTTTGAGTAGTTAATCCCTTTTTATATTTCTTAATTTTTTATATGTGGGAAAGAATTGGGAATATTATCCCAGACAGCACGTAAGCTCGCGCACGACTTGTCTCGCGCAGAGTATAAGTATCGGTCCGCTGAACAGGCTTTTCACCATATTATCTTAAATGATAATGTGTATAGTTAACGTCTGCTACGACGGTGACAATTTTTAATTATTATCCACTGATCATGGATAATAGTTCCCAACTCCAATTCTTTGGGGAAATTAATAACATTATTATTATAACGTTGTTATAATTTTTTAATGTTTAATAAAAATTTAAAATATTAAATATAAATTTGTTGCTAATAATAAATTATTAATTTTATATAATAAACAATTTCCATATAAGATTACATTAAGTTTGCGCCAACCTTTAGTGCAATATTGCTGCAAGCTTGTAGTGCAATATTGCAGCAAACTTGCACATAAAGCTTGCTATAAGTTAGACATTTTAAGCTTGTGGCAAGCTTGCCGCAAACTTGCACGTCAATACTGCAAATATTGCACGGCAAGCTTGCCTCAAGCTTGCTGCAAGCTTACGTGCTATCTGGGATAGGAAGGGACAGTGGAATCATTTTAATAATAATGTTATAAGGTTTCATAGCATTAGTTTTTTTCTGTTTAATACTCTCGAGCAAAGCTTCCGGCGTTGAATCATGAAACTATCTTAATGGGACCTTGTAGTACAATACCAAAAAGGAGTTTTTGACAGTTGCCAAACTGCCAGTGAAAAGCAACAACTGACAACCTGTTGTATGGAAATTTACACAACAGGATTGAAGTCGAAAAACTATTTCATCAGTACTTCGTTCTTTGGACTGCAATGACATACCATATGAAGATCAATGGGAATTAATTTCCTAGTCTATCCAAATTTAATAGATATTTGAATCCTTTTGCTTCTCAACCTGTATAATAATTAAATAATAAAATAGTTTCATTAGAAGGATATAAATAATAGGACGTAGAAAAAGACGGTAATTATCAGATTTGATCTCATTTAATTATTAAAAACAGACGTGTATATAAATAGAATACAAATAAATGTGATGCTTGGATGTATGTGTGATTACGTCGGACAAAGGCTTTATTTAATAATCCTTCGAATTATATATATACATTTTTTCCATTTTAATTCTCCTTTAATAATTTTGATGTCTACGGGAATTATTTTTCATTTTCTAATCAATGCTAGTTTATAAAAATACACATACATTGTATATGGAATATAGAACTAAACTAATTTTGCAAATCGATTGCCCTTCCCCTCTGCCGGCTAAAGCAAGCATCTTAACCGGAAACCATCTTTCAGCCTGGCTAATACAAAATACGTTTTTTTGCTCCAGTTCATTAGGTTTTCTTTTTAGTTTGTCGAAAACCCTTTCTTACAGTCTATATAATCTCATTATGAAATTTTTTTTTACAATTATGAGTGTCCTATATCTTACTTAGAATTTCATCAACAAACACAAGTCTTTTTACTTACAAGAATTTGGAAAATATTTTAATATAAATTAATTTATGATTTGATTGTATTAATCCGTTCTTTATAATGCTTAAAGAAATTTAGTGAAATTTTATCTCCCGAAACTTGGGAAAATAGTTTGAATTGAAAAAAAAATTTTTTGTTTCTTCTATGAAAAACTGTGTTGTTGGCGCATTAAGAGTAGTACAAGGTGTCTCAATTCAGTCTGTGGAAATAAGTACACTTGGCAATATTGGAGTTTAAAGAAACTCCACCTAAAAAAATACATGCGAAATGTATTAACGATGCCCGAATCATTCAAACACTCATTTAACTAATAAAAATATTGAAACTCTACATCAAGTTTCCTTTTCGCGACGACTTCTTTTTTTTGTAAATAATAGGGAAAAGTCCATTTCGTTTATAAATTTTTGTAAAAAATATTATGTTTCTCATGCGAAATTCTTTTTTCTATGTTAAATTTTTATTTAACGTGAGAAAAATAAATGTTAAATTTACATTTAACATAAGAAAATGAAATGTTAAATTTATATTTAACATGAGAAAAAAATGTTAAATTTATATTTAACATGAGAAAAAAATGTTAAATTTACATTTAACATGAGAAAAAATGTTAAATTTATATTTAACAAGAGGAAAAAATGTTAAATTTACGTTTAACATGAGAAAAAAATGTTAAATTCATATTTAACATGAGAAAAAAATGTTAAATTTATATTTAACATGAGAAAGAAATGTTAAATTTATATTTAACATATAAAAAAATCGTTAAGTTTATATTTGACATGAGAAAAAGAAATGTTAAAGTCATATTTAACATTTAAAAAAAGTTAAATTTATATTTGACGTATAAAAAGGAAATAGTAAATTTGCATTTAACATATCAAATAAAAAAAATTATATCAATATATAAAACGAAACGTTAAATTTATATTAACTAATACGACGGAAATGGTAAAATTACATTTAACATATAAAACGAAAGATTAAATTTAAAAAACAAATGCTAAATATTTATTTGACGTTTAAAAAGAAAAAATATTTAACACATAAAAAAGAATTTCGCTTACAATGATAATTGCTAACAAATTTAATGGTTTAATTTTCTTATTAAACCATAAATTATCTCTCTTTTTTAAAATTTGTTAACTTTCCCCTACTCTGCACTTACTCCACAATTTAACTTTGGTTGACATTTTTTTCAAAATACATATTTGACTCAATTTATCTAAACATAAATTGCAATCGATTTCGACGAAAGTATAAATAATAAAAATAAATAATAATAGTAACTTATCGTACACATTCTTTTTCTAAACAGAGATTTTAAAAAAAAATTTCACATTTGCAAACAAATCGTCGCGAAAGCAGTTGTTTCCTCCTTAAAACTATGGGTTTAAATTTGTCGATTGTAAAAGTAAAAAAAAATTTAAATCATCCAATATTGTAATATTGAATTATTGTAATTGAAAAAAGAAAATAAGATTAGAGAAAAATGATTTACGATCGACAAATAAAAACTTGAAAATTACTGCGTACTTTGATTACTTGAAATAGTTTATGACATTGTAGGTGGTTCATAAAATTATACTTACTACCAGTAAAGTCCAAGTTTTAATATAAAATGCTAAGCTGTAAAATATGGATATTATTAAAATTGAATAATTATCGTACAACATGAAAATTGCGCTCGTACACAGACATAAAATCATTCTTTCATATTTTCCGTTAAATTTCATTAAATTGCAGCCTTAATTAATTATAATATAAAATACCATTTAAAAATATATTCCTTCGCTTTTTTTTATTGCACAATTTTTCTTCTAGAAGCTTTTTAATTATTCAGTGACATAGCTCCTGATAACTAAGTACTAATCTATATTGATGAAAAAGCGAACATTTTTTGGAATTATCATTTAAAATTGTATTTTATATTACAAGTGATTGAATTTTGAGTTTTAAAGCGCTTTTTACGAGTAACAACTCAACTTTTTTTTCGATTAATGTCTTTCGTTTAGCCTAGTTGCCACTTTAATCTTAACAAATATTTTTAAGCTAGATTTTATCATTAAAGACGTTAATCAAGCGTGAATGTTTAAATATGTATTTACTAGTCTTGATACAAGTTACAAGTCAATCAGAAAATTAATTCAAGGGCGAATCCAATAAAGTTACTACTACTGTAAAAACCAAAATAATAAAAAAATGTCAAACTAATTGGATTCTTAGTTCGATTGGATCCCTGAGACTCAGGAGCGAACCAGAGAGAGAGAGAGAACAAAACCGGTTAAGTAAAAAAAAAGAATGATTATAACCGGCTATTTGATTGACTAATCGGTATTTCGTTATCAATTGGAATATATTGCCAGTTCACCCCTGCGAAGATTTGATTTAATTGTAACATGATCAAAATTAGCATGATAATGAGTTAGGTAATTTTTAATGTGTTTTTTCAATAGATGTATTTGTCAGTTATTGACAAAAAAGTGTGTTCGTTGAATGATGATCATAAGCTAGTCACGTTTTTTTATTTGATAACAATAATTGACGTGATTTTGAGTATACTCTTGAGTATGAATGCGTATGAAGTGTAATTTTATATTATACTTTGAGTCTAAACTTCTTCGCACCTTCTCTCATTCATTTCTTTCACATACGGCTCCCTCTTTTTTTTTCTTGTACAACTTGTAGAAAGTCAGAAAATGGGAATAGTTTTAAGGCATCATTTTGCGGGGTGTCAACCATTTCTTCATGTAATAGCAGAAGATTGTGGAGATGTAGATGAGAATTAGAAGTGCGCAGGTCACTCGCATTGCTAGGAGGGAGCCGGCCGTTGGACATGGTCGCTCAATTGTTATGGTTTTGTCTGTGGATAAAGAAGAGAACATGAATGAATTGTTATCATATGTAAGTACTATTAAAATATTTGGGTTTTCTGTAACATTTTTGATACCGTCAACTGGAGACTTTATCGAATTTGGGGTTTATTACCCACCCAATGCAACTATCACTCTAAGTTTTCCAAAATCCTCCAAGAAACTAAAGTAATAGTAAATGATTTAACAAATTTGTTTCTAATATATTTTCCGTTTGCAGATGGGAACTGCGTTTGGTGAACTTTCTTAGGGTTTGTTCTATACAATGTCTAGAAACTTTGGAAAACTTTAGGGCACTTAGGAAAGGGTCCTAAAAGATTTCGCAAATGGTTGTCCACTACCGAACATCATCGACGTCATGGATATGTGAACCACGGTTCTCCTCGAACAAACATTATGTGCATCATGGATATGTTTAGTAGACCTTGTCGTGGTGTCAGGGCTTTTCACTAAAGGACATCCAAAACAGAAAGCGATTGTAAAAATTAGGAGCACCTTCGGGGTAATGCTTCAGCTGAATCCCACTAGCGTCTAGAGAGGGAAAAGGTGACCAGGGACCTGAAGATGAAGGAGGACAACAATTTGTCCAGAGTCGATAAAAGACTCAAAAGGAAGAGGTGGAAGGAAAGGCTTCTAAAAAAGTCCGTAGGCAGGGTGTTAGACAAGGTGTCGAAGTCAAGCCAAAGCAGTAAAGATAATAGGTCACCAAGAGCGTCTTTGTCTGGATGGCAATTGCGAAATATGGTCATGTGTATCTTGTCATTTTTCTATTGGTTCTATAGTCAGTCCAGGAAACGCCTTCAACTTAACTAGTCCACAAGTCACCACCGAATCAATTTCGCGTCTTTTTCGTGTCAGTCCAGCAACCGCGACGAAGTTAACTAGTTGTGTATTGTCATCGAGTTTATTCTTCGACTCCAGTTCCAAAAATCTCTTCAAGTACCAAGTGCATTAAGTCTCGTCTTAGTCAAGTTCATTCAAAGAGATAATTTCTACTGCGAGGAACATTTCTATTTTTCTAAGGACTACATTACTTCGACCGCAACGGCAAATAAATAATTCGGTCACTCCTAGGCTAAAGGGTGTTTTATCTAATTTACATCGACACCTGGACTCTAGACCTTTTACTTTGGCTGGACCGAAAACAATTCGAGGGAAATCTACTGCATTCCCTGTTTCCGCCAGACAACATCATTTCTTCGACCTCACACTGAAGGAGATATTCCTTGTTGGGTCTACCACTCTAAGAATAATTTTAAAAGGTAACTAACTAATACTTTTAAATTTTGTCTCTTTTTAAATTCTCGATTGGTTCCACAATGTTCCAACTTCAGTCTCCCTGAAGACATCTGGATCTACTTTTTCTTTCTGATTCTAATTGTAAAGGATTCAAATAAAAACTTTAATAATTTAACTTCAATTTAACAGTATCTCTTTTTTAAAATCCGTCCCTTAATATCAGAGCCTTCCGCTCTGTGAATAAATCAGGTTTGAATCACCGATGCCGGACAAATTTAGATAAATAATTTAGGATATGTCGGTTTCATTCTGAGACATAACAACCCACTAAAAAGGGAGATCTTCTAATTCAGAAAGAAGACTCCACAAAGAAGGAGAAATTCACCAAAGAAACAAAGATCGTCAAGGGACTATAGTCCCCCAACTATCTTTGTTTCTTTGGTGAATTTCTCCTCCTAGGTAAGGTACCTTAAGGTTTTTTCAAAAATAATAGAAAATATACAGCATCTAAAGATTATTACCAAGTTCATTGAAATCTATGCTGGCATCGTTCTTCAAGAAGTCGGTCTGCTTCTCATCGCCAAAGTCCAAGACAAGAATTTCCTGTGAAAGAGTCATGTCTTCCGATTTTTCTTCAGTGGAATTGACAACACTTCTTCTACGCCTCTTGCCCCAAGACTCCACTGAATCACGTCCCCATTCACACATTGCCTGCAGAACAGTAAAATAAAAATTAAACATTTCTGAAAATTTAATATATTAGTCACTAGATGCGAAAAAGCTTTGAGATAAAATATTCACAGTTGTAGCCAGAAGCTAGTTTCTAGCATTAAGATTTTTCCAAAATTTTTTTTTTGGCTTCTATATATTTACCGGTTCACAAGGTCCGAGACAGTATTTGACATTGCACTGGAAGATTACGCCATAGGATTCAGTAAACCTGAATGCTTCGTAAACTGATTGCAGAGCATTGCCGTCTTGTGTGAAGCTTGGGAAAATAGAAGAATCCAAAGGACATCTAACAAGAAATGTTTTATTATAATTTTCATTCTAAACAGTAATTAAAAAAATATTTTTGAAGCTTAGCAATTACTAACCCCTCGTCGTCGATAATTTGGAAAGTACTCTTCGAGTCCTTAGCCATTGCAACACAGCTTCGGGCAAAAATACCATAAGGAGCTGAAGCAGAAAATACACTTGTATAAATTTGCAACAAGTAAAAAGTATTAAGTAAACAAGTAAAGTATTATTTCTCAAATTTCAAAAAATGTAACTTACTATCTTCTGGGATTTCAATTCGGAAAGTGAGTTTATCTCCAATACGAACAGTTTCGACCTCTCGTGATCTGCTGTCGAGAATTCTTATCCTTGGTGGTGGTGCTTCAGGTGCACTGGTGATACTTATCATTTCTGGATCTCTAATTGGCATCATCCCAAAGGTAATGTTCTTTGATGACATGTCGTAAGTACATTTGACTTTGTAGATTTTGTCAGCTTTCGTCATAACCACCGAATGATGTTGCAATACAACCGTATTGGAGTAAATGCCAGTCTGAAAACCGTCACGCTGCAGGTCAACAGGCAGCTTGAAAATGTTAAACTTTAAACCAACTGTCACCGTGAAGGCACTAAGAAAAAGTGGTGCATCCCAAAAAAAATTTTCTTAGATGATAAAAGAATGACAAAACTAATACAATTTGATACAGGAAATCAACCTTTGTAATTCGAAATTATGACTGCAAATTGAATGTAAATTTTTTGAATTGTATTATTTTTGAATTATTTACTTCAAAACTTAAAACAATTCAATAAGATGTGTCATCTTATATAAAGAAGTGAAAAGCTGGGAACTTATTTATATATACATTATTCAGTGCAGTGTGATGATTCCATGCAAATGAGTGCGCTGAAAAATATGATTTTTTATACGACTGATGAATGGGTTCAGAAATCGAACTAATTAGCTCGAGCTTAATTGGGTTTATACCCAATTTACTAAAGATTAGTACAATCTGGTTTGACTGGTTCCAAAACTTAATTTCTTCTGTTCTAGAAAAATTACATAACTTTTCTGTAACTCTGCCCACTAGGTTGTGCTTTTGGAATGATTATAAGAATGATATGCATGAACTGATAAAAAAAGCGTGTGAGCTAAAAATACCCAGTGAGCCCACGAACATAGGTTCTCTTAAAGGCATCCTTTCTTTTGGACATCCGCACGTTCGTTAAAAGATCACCTTAAAGACGCCCTATGTCCAAAAGTCGTCTTTAGGATAGATCTTTGACATAGGATCTCTCAAAGTGGATTCTCGAACAGACATTGCTTGTCCTCAATAAATCTCCGTTCACTTATAGAAAAACTTACCACACTCTGCGTATTACAATCTTGACCAGTCATTGTCAAGTCCAATCTGAAAATATCACTGTTAATGATGTCGTTGTTACAAGTCTCAGAACGTCCCAAAGCATAAATACGTCCATTGAAAGGTTTGTTTGTTTTAACTTGGACGGCAATACGTGTGTCTTTGCAGTCAACAGAAACTAAAAATAATTTTACCGTTAGTTTAATAATTCTAACGAATTTTTTTTAAATTCCAAATTCGTCTATGATAAAGAAATACCATCTTACCATCGTAGCATGTTCCGGTCTTATCGCAGTTCAATTGTTCCTTCTCAACATCATTCTTGAATCCTGAATTGTCCGATAAACCTTCAGTGGTAGATGGAACAGCTTCTTCTAAAAAGTTAAATAAAATAAAATTAATTGAATACTCAAATGAGAATCGAGGTCCTCAAATTATCCAGATAAAAATGAGGAGTTGGATGCTATAAGAAATATGAATTTTCATCATTTACTTACTTTCACAATAGTTTTCATAATAAGAACCAATACGATCTCCATTATCGATAAGAGGTCGTTCAGCATTCAAGTAGGTATTTGGTCCATCAGGAAGTGTCCAATGATCCAAATGGAAGAGTTGACAATTATAGGTGTTGCTCATTGGTGGACCACGATAGAGATAGGATCTGCAGAGAAATTCGGTTTCTACCTCGCAAGCAAGTTTACAAGCCGATTCATTTTGTACTTGGTGCTCTTTGTCCGTATAATAATTCAATCCAGCGTATTGGTTGATTTTCTCCTCACTTACCCCAATTTTTGGCGATACGAACTTCTTCTTCGTTTTACAGGCATCCTTACCTAAAGTGATTAAATTCAAATTTATATATTATTTTATTGTTATACTTATTTTAATATTTAATAATTATTTAATGTTTTAAAAATTTTAATATCTATTGTTTGTTACCTTTGAGGCAAAGATTTTCGAAGTAATCGATTCCGGGTGAATCAACAAATTGTGCAATGTGTCCAATGGTTCTCCTGTCGGAATCACTTAATTGGCACTGAAGAGTGGCATAATTGTATTCAACGGATCTACAGGTAAACCGATTTTCATTCAAACAATGCGTCAAACATCCTTCTTTCGACGAGACGTAAATTAGGGCATTGTCAAAACCTCGTATCATCTTGTTCGTCACACGTTCAAAGGCCCATGGCCTCTTGCAGACTTTTTCTGAAAATAAACCAAATTGAGTCAGCAAATTTTTCTTCACAGTTAAAATCAACTTGGTGCAGGAAAAAAAAGTTTTAATTCAGTGGAACCATAATAACAGGAAAGTGGAACACAGTAAAATTCCTGCACTAAAAGCAGTAAAGGTCTGAACTAACCGTAGCCTTTAATCGTTTACTTCCTACATCTCCAAAAAATAGGTAATTGAGGAATTATCTTCCTGAACTTGGTTTGGATTTCATAATAGATTTTAATAGTCAACACTTACCAGATCTAATTTGAAGTTTTGTCATGTAATACATATTAGCAGCTTTCTGAGGTTGAGCGGAAGGATTCGAAGCTGCGGTTTCATTTTGTAATTCGCAAAGGGTTTCTTGAATGGGTGCCAAAGGATTCACAACAAAAGAGAAGGCCACCGCTTGGCATTCCGGTTCTTCCCTACACCATCCTTGACATTCATAGAGACTCAAATTTCGAACACTGTAATATGTCGTTCCTCTATAGTCGTAATCGGTCAGCTTCTCAAATGCCGTTTTCGCTGAAAACATATTAATTCATTCAGTGAATTGAAAATTAATTCCTTCAAATTTTAACATACGAATAGGATATCTAAATATTTGTTGAATATTTTAAGGGATTTGAGGGAGCAGTAATTAGAATAATTAGAAATACTATTTTTGACCTCGTTAGGTACGTTTTTAAATCCGACACTCTGTAAAATAAAAGTGCTTTGCTTTTTCAACTATCTTGGGATGTAAATCTGCTACAAAATAGCGTACAATCTTGGGAAGTGTTTCGTTCAGAACTAGAAAGTGTCACGCGGATCACAATACTCAAATGGATGTAACTAGGCAAAGACTTGTTAAAATTGAAACTACATGGCTTTTAAGTTGCTTTTAAGTCTGCCTAACGCAGTAGTTTATTCGCACATTGTAATGAACACTTGTTCTAAATTTAAAAATTCCAACACTGACACCAGTATTTTAGAAAAATACCTAAGACTTCTAAACTAAATTTAAAAATTAATAGTTTCAAAAAAACCAGAACCTTATTAATTTCTTACACAAACTAATAAATAATTAGCAGAAAAAACAGACGAAGAAGACGAAGGCAGAATGAAGATTACTCGTTAGATTACTCGAGGCAAGATTCAAAATTATTTCTTATGATTCGTCAAAGTCATTCAAATTACTAAAATTATTCAAAAACAATTTTTTTTCTCCTTTTTTATGAAAAACAATTTTGCAAATGATAATTTACAGTGATTAATATTTATTACAATATTTATTACATTTTTGTTCAAATGAATTAACGTATTAAGGATTATTTAGTTACGGAGGGTAATTAGAAAGGAAACTATATATAGGATTCTAACTAAATGGTGTGCAGCGAATAATAATGACATGTAATTATTCAGAACAAGGAGGAATGAATAATAATTGAAGTTGAACCGAACCAATTACCGATCCATTGCTATTAAGGGACCACCGAGAAAAACTGGTAACTCCTACTATATCAGGTATTTTAGAACAATTATAAAAGGACTTTTTTTTGCAAAAAAGTACCCTAAGGTTACAGATGAAATATCATTGTTAGGGATCGCATAGTTATTAGAAAGATTAGTAGCAAATTCGATTACACAGAGGTTTGAAAATTATATACACTTTGCTGAGTTTCGATCGATTACACTCGTAAATGAAGAATAATTACGATTTTTATAAGATCGTTATTTAAATAACTGTGGATAAATTACTTGAATCTTGACAATTTCTTTTTGACTATAATTTCTTTAAAAGAAAAGTCTATAAACGAAGGAATTAATTAATAAAACTGAACAAGATTTCGATGAATTCATGCGTGAGTTGGGACTTGAAGTTAAAAGAGTAAAAAGAGATTTAGGTAAAGTAGCGTCTCATCAAAAAGATAACGAACTTAAAATAAATACGTTATGCAAGCATGTTTAGATGGAATAGCTAAAGAATGTTGGAATTTGGTTAAAGAAGATGATCACTTTTGTCATGTTAAAGATAAATTACTAAATAGAAACATCACGCTAAGATAACTACACCCTCCTTCTCAGGCGTGACGTAGTTTCTGGACGACCCCTTACGCGATTAAAGTAATAAATAAAGCTAAAGACTTGATTCCATCACCTACAGAAAATTAAACTGTTTTGAAAATTGCCAGACATTTCGATGATGATATTCAAACTGCTATAATAATTACAGAAATTAAAAAAATAAATGATTTATTAGGTTTATTAGAAAAATTTGATAAAGTAGGTCCAGTAAATTCTCAGAGAAATTTTCCAAATAGAAACTCTGGCAATTGTCAAAGCATTTCATCGAGTTATTCTAAGAATTATAATCGTTAACAAAACAATTAAATAATTATTACCAACAAAATCAAAATCGTTACAAAGAAAATTCAAATTATAATAAAAATAAAAATCGTTATCAAGGTAACAATTCATATCAACGACTTCGGAAAACTAGTAAACATCGGATTTGTAAACACAAGTTTGCTTAATACAAATCCTAGGTCAATGACATTAATTAGCAAAGCAAAAGAAATGATTCCATCTGATATGCAAGAAGAACTTTTAGAAGAACAAATAATTGATATTCATGATCATTTAGAAAAGTGTCCAGTAATAGAATTTGAACTTAGAACTTAGAACTTTTAGAAGAACAAATAATTGATATTCATGATCATTTAGGAAAGTGTCCAGTAATAGAATTTGAAATTGTTAATAAAGAAGTAAAAGCACTTGTAGATACGGATAGTCAAGTAACATGTATATCTGACAGTTTCTATAGTGAAAATATTGAACAATGTGAAAAATGTAATAAACTACCAATTATAGGTGCAACCGGAGCACGTCCAATCAAATTAAATCTTCAAATTTTTGCAAATTTCAAAATGTGGCTATGCAGGTCAATGTGTATTTATAATTGTTCCGATATTAAATTGCAATTGTATAATTAGAGCTACTATGTTAAAAGTTTCAAAAACTAAAATTGATCTTAATAAGGATATCATTCAAGTAATGAGGGATGGAGAAGATTTAACAATGGAAATGCTAAAAGAAAGCATAAATAAAATTATAAAAATTAAAAATTAATCGGGGTCATTGTAATGATTAACATTATCACCTCAGAAATATTAAAATTTGCGTGGTAAATATATATAAAATATGCAGGGGGAAAAAAAATCGGGAAGTCAATGCACTTACCTATAACAGCGAAACTTCCTGTGAAGAATACTAGAAGGAGGAACCCTGAAGCGATGAGGCCGATTGTGTGCGAGCCCATCTGTAACAAGAGAAGCGTTGCAGGTTAATTACAGTGTTGGAGGAAGATTCTTATGTACATCGACCTGCCACGACCTGCCATTGTCTCTATCGCTCCCGTCTCGTTCGTTTTGCGTGAACGCCTGCAAATGCCCGCACACACACATGTATACTACATTTCTATATAAATAGACAAGAAGGCATACAGACACAGTATAGCGGAAGCGCATAAACAGGACTAACTTATTACGACCTTGGGTTCAGTTCCCAAGGTATTTTCGCAGTGGACGCCAAATGCTAATCACTAATCCAAACACGGAAGAGAAGATTTTTCCTTTAATTGCAAGCACATCATTGCAATAGGATAATCCTCATTATTTACACATATATGATGATGTAAGATATATATTCTGCACTTGAGAAAAATTTCCCTCAATTTTATAGTCATAGTGTTGGAGTATGACTGTAATTAATAATCGTATTTAATTATAATTACGACTTCTTGGTGTTTCTAATTATTTTTAATTATTTTGTAAACTATTTAATGGTACTTTGATATTTACTTATCAGTTGTTTCTCTTTAACTATGCGGGATAGCTCTTGACAATGCCCTCATGTTTCTGCTCCACTATTCTAAAAGGTTGATTAGTTTATCTTCACATTGAGGAAAGGTGAAGTTTTTAACAGGTTGACAATAACATGCTGATGATTGACAATCACTGACACTTTTTGGGTTAATTGCTACAAAATAGTTTACGAAAGGTGAAGCTTTAGGAAGTTGACAACAACATGTTGATGATCGAAAGAATCCGAAATTAATTATTGAACTATTTTTTTTTGTTTAAGAAAGATCTCATTCCTTTTGGAATTCAATATTCCTTATTTAAATTGAACTAAAGAAATAAGAAAATAGAAAGTGTTCCTAAGCTATTGGATGTAAAAATCTAGACTTAAAAACAATTCAGTAATTTCAATATTTAATTTAATTAAAAACAAGTATTGTTATTTACCATATTTTTTGGGACGTAGCAATAACATAACCATTAGAATATTACTGGTCTTATTCAGAGACGTAACACTATGTACTAAAATTAAATTTAAATTTGTGCCACAAATGTTACAATAGACATTATAATAAATTTTAATTAATTATCAACGACATCTTATGTAAAAGACGTCTTTTGGAGCTTTAGACAGAAGATGTCTCTATGTCTTATGAACGGACATAGAGGTCTGAAGAATGGCCTGTAGACGTTCTAAAGACGTGCCATGTCCCAGTGTCACTGATGAATCATCGGGTTCGTTTGATCCTTTCGAATTAATTTCCTGCGGTTTCAGCAAAGTCAACTTCAGAGCGGTGAACCGTGGCAAAATGTATTTCTAAACTATCGCCTTACGTGAGAAATAGTCGCAAATATTTTTTTACAAACTGTCTTCTAATTTTCTAAGAAAATATCCGAATGACTCGAAATTCGAGATGAACAATTAAATTATCCGATTTATCAGATCATTTAAATTCACGTGTTGTTCGTACAGTCAATTTCTAAATGGCTAGCCTAGCCTTCTAATTCCGCTTCACATACAATTTACCATTTGTAATTTTTTTTTTTACAATTTGTTACGCATTTTCTAAGTGTGGAAATTCCATCAAATTTCTGCCATGGTTAGTAACGAGTTAAGAAATGTCACGTAAAGAAAAAAAGGTTCTTTCCATCAAATATTTGTCATGGCATTTAAACTCTTGAGAAATGTGACGAGAATCAAAAGATTTTTGAAATATTTAGAATAGTTGGCGTTTACCTCATTAGAGGATCAAGACTGTGTCATCGTTTTACCACATATTCACTGGAGGAGAAAAGAATCTTGTTCGCTACTATATTTTCATTTAAAGTCCTGAATTCATAAATCTCTGCTACGGAATTATTGTCCATGATAAATATCAAAATTCCAAGAATTGTGTCCGGTAATAAGGAGCCTTTCTATCGCTCCATGTTCTTAATTCTTCAATCGGTTATATACTGCACCCATTTATTTTGCTTGTAAACATATTCACAATCTGCAATCTCAAAATGAGTATCCAGGATTTTTTATCCTGTCAAAAAAATTTGCGAGTCGAATCTCAAGGTTAAATTCTAGCCAAATAATTAAGTTAACTAAAAATTAGATTATGAGAACATTCTGAAAATACCATATACGGATATTCTAGGAACACGATAGTTTTAAGTTTTTTTGAGGATAAAAAAAGTGAAAACTTCAAATACTATTTGTTAATTATATGCCTCCATTGTAATTATGTTATGGTTTTCAAATTAAACCAAGGGAGCTTGGGCAATAAAATAAGTAAGTAAATAAATAGACGAATCACTATAGAGTAATGACTGTAATAAAATAAATTTAATGGAGTTATTACACTGGAATTATTATACTGAAATTACCTTTTATGAGTTCATTAACCCGAGCTTTTATATACACACATCCTTTAAAAACAACCTTTGCTTAAAATTGAATTGCAAGGACGAAACTACTGCTTAACCGGTTATCAAGGAAGTTGTGTGAACTAACAAGTATATCATGAAGTTATAGAACATACACATCCATGTCGCTTATCCTCAAACTATTTTTGCTCTCGTTTTACAAAGTGGCGCTTCCTGGTTTCTTCGCTACTCTTTCTATCCTACCCTTCTACTTTTCTTTTTCTTTTTTTTCAAATCATTTTTTTTTCTTTTTTTTTCTCAATTTCAAACTAACAAGTTTTTCATGGACCAAATCGATATACTGAAGATTTCCAGTTTGACTCGCATAAAATCCTGTATAATTACACGTTATAGGCAGACATTTTATTTCAATATTATTTTCACAAACTACGATAAGGACTCGTTTATGAGTTATTTTATAGTATCGATCACATTTCATTTATGGAAATGATAATAACTGTGAAATGCATTAATTAGTAATTGGAAATAATTTAAGTGTTGATTTTCATAAATGTCTCCTTGGGAAACAACTTGAGGATTTTTTTTTAATGTGAATACTCGTCGAGACATTCATGTTTTGCAACTGGAGGAAAGTAATAAAAGGAGTAAATACTTTAATCCGATCTTCTGTAATACTTTAGTTTATAGACAAATGTATATACGGAACCAATACTATGGCTTTGGGTGTTTTTTTTCTTTTTTTTGAATAGTTAATGTCATTACTTACGCTCAATATATATTTTCTGCTGGTTCACTGCTCTTTCTTTTAGAGATGGTACATTCAAGATAAAGAGGAAATCATCGTTCATGAGTAGAAAAACATATACGCTGCGGCTATGATTTTCTCTCGCTTTTTCTTTTTTTCACTGTTCATACATTATTCTTACTATGCACATTCTATACATCTTATCTTCGCCTCTTCCTCTTCTATCCCACTTTTATGTTATTAATTTATTTACACAAAGATGTCTTGCTTGAACAATATATACTTTTCAGTAAAGAAGTTCAAAAATAATTTTGTTTACCATCTTCTTACAATTAGAGATAGTTTGAAACAAATCAAAAAATGGAAACTAAGGAACAAAAGCAATCATTTCTCAGACTGTAAAATAATTGTAATATTGATGGAGGTCCAGTGAAGAAGAGGTCGATAAATAATCTCGTGCAAGATCCATTGCTAATTACAACCCAGTTGTATTTTTAAATAGATTCAGAATATTCGAACAAGTTTTCTGGTATATTATTTCTCATACTGTTAATCGTCGAGTGTGTATAAGAAACCAAAAAAAGATCTTACACAAGATTGTTTCCCTATGCTCTTGAGAAAGTACGTTTTATCCGTGAGCTTGCACTAAGCCATCTTTGATTACGTTAACGCCTTCTTCCGTTGCGCACTTTTTTTTCTAAATCACCTCTTCCTTACTCCATTAGATTTCCAAGATATTTTCCAACTCCAGGAATTTGTCAAATAAGAAAAAACTCGCCTCTTCAAAGAATTACTTCTTAATTTAAATAATTTTTCCAGCTAAATATTTTGTTAACAGAGAAAATTGTTACGTACACTTTTAAAAGTGAACATGCTAGCGAACTGCTAGCATGGCTCGAATAATTAAAACAACCTTCAGGAATTTCGCATATGCACAAAAGAAACAGGGAGGAAGTTCATCCTTTATTTTCACGGTGGGAACGCGGTAGAGATCCCCCGACAATTTTTCCTAGCAATAGATTCATGAGAAGTTGATGATTCCTCTCCTGGTAGTTTTGCTATTTTTCTCTAATAAACCCGCAAGGAATATAATACAAAGAGTGAAATTGCCTATAGTTTTCTATTCCGACAAAAGTTCCTCACGATTTGTGATGAATCCCGTCCGTCGAATCGTGAAGATGCGACACTGCATGCATTTCCGCTGGGATGAAACAGGAATATGCTACCTTAATTGAAGTGGCCCTTTCTCCCGTGTGAGAGAGATGGTACTATATTTTATGCTGAGCCACTACATTTAAGGTAGCATATTCCTCTTTTATCCAAGGAATATAAACCCGATGGAAACGCACGTACTTCAGGTAGAAGATAGAATCTAATCCATTATTCATCAGCCGGAACACAAATGAAAGGATATCCTACCTTAAGCCCTATTTGTTCGTTAGAATCTTTGCGTTCACTGTTCGTCATGGCGTATATACAACTTTGACGACGAAATTGACTTCCCTTTGGTTCTCTAGTTACAGATCATTGCTGGAATAAATTGGTCAGATTGGCTCCTGGACTTTATATTAATTGTTTACCTAATACTCGCCATCCTTCTTTGACCATTGGAATTTACTGATGAAATGTTTGCTGAAGATGTATTTACCGATGAAGCATTTACTAAACAAGTATTTTCTAAAGAAGTGCTTACTAAAAACGTAGAGTCTCCAAAATTTCGGAGCACTCGCAAAAAATAGTGGAATCATCATTTGAAAGTTTCGGAAAGGTTCTTTTCTAACCGACCTTTTTTGGAATCTTCATTTTGAAAGGAAGTTTCCTGGGACTCATTCTCGCTACTGC